CAAAGATTTAATTAGTCAGTTCTGTGCACGGCTTGACTGCCAAGCTTTCTCAAGGTCTCAACTTGCTGGACGCGGATATACTCTAACGACTATAAACGGGCTAATAACAGCAACAATTAAATTCTCAATCATACCACGAAGAAGGCGATGTAGCTCAGAAAACAACGCCGGTAGGATCTGATATTAAAAATAAGACTTTTGCCGGCGAAGCAAGTTGGCAGAACATCTTGGCTGTCAACAACAAGCTTTCGAATACAGGACTAGTTTGGCTGTTCTTTCAGCGTCGTGTGTGTCCAAAATTCGTCAAAGATTTTGATGAAGCCCTTTCAAAATACTGTTTGTTTGATTTATTTTCTTCCATAAAGCATAAAAGAAAAGAAATTCGAAGAAATCGATAATGGAATTTGTTACGTGCGTTTGACCTTTATATTAATTCTCGCCTTGACCGAGCTATTTTTAAAACTGTTGTTTAATGTTTATGTGAACTTGCAACCAATCAAAATCCTTCATGATGCTGATCAACCAATCAGATTTTCCGTCCACCAGGTGGACGGGAATCCCACACTTTAGATAGGTTTTGTGTCAGGCCCTATTCTGTGATAGGGCCTGAACTTCAGGTTACGGCAGACAAGATCTTTCTGCTTGCGCTGGGTATGGAAATTATATAATACACACACTAGAACATTTTCATCTTAACATATTACAAAGTGTACAATTACACAACTAACATAACACTTGCAGAACTAGTATTGTTCGATGCTGAATTAATATAAACGAGTATGTTTATGACATTCAGTATATATTTCATAATTTCCAGTCTTAAATCCGTCTGACCGTGTAGTTCAGTAGGTAGAACGTCGATCCAGTAATTCGAAGGTCGCGGGTTCGAGACCATAGATATAGGAGATCTAGATTGCTAACGCATACCTAGCGCAGGCGGGGCCTACATGATAAATCCAAGATGGCGGTACAACAGGGCAAAAAGACTATAAATTCTATTACGAAAATCAGGATATTTGCATTTTTTGCCGTCGCAAACTTATTCGGTCAAATTGTATGGTAAAGAGAAACTTACCGCGAAGATTTTGAGCATATATATGATTGAATTGGATGAAAAATCGCAAAATTATCCAGCGATAAAACTTCGTGTGAAATGGTCAGTTGGTCAGTTGGAGCGTTTTATTGCCAGAAATACTGTGCTATGTTAACATCTAGCCTTGTAAATGGTGTTTTATACTTGCATCTCTCATCATCATCTGCGCTGTCCTCATAATTATGAAAAATGAACTGTTATGTATCCCTCCTTGCTTGTTAGAGAAGTAAACTGATGAGAGCACTGGATGAGGGTCTATCATATATGGTCTGTTATAATTTGCTTTTTATGCAAATAGTGAGAAAAAATTAAAGCAAAACTGTACAAGTTACATACTAGTATAGTATGACTATATCAGTACTATACACGAACTTTTATCGCTGGATAATTTTGCGAGTTTTCATCCAATTCAATCATATATATGCTCAAAATCTTCGCGGTAAGTTTCTCTTCAACTCTTTATCGACATGAGCCTATTATCGCAATGCTTGTAAGCAATGCGCTTTGCCGATTTAATATCTTCGGTTCATTGAATGCTATGAGGACAAAAATACCACCATTCGATTCAGTGTGACTAGATCTCCTCACTCGTAGCAATAGTTTTAGTCATTGGCAACATTATAGCGATTTATGAGCTTTAAAAGTAAAGCGAGAAGTAAAGCGAGATCAGTTACGATCAAATCACGCATTTTACCAACAAATTATAAAAACATAAACATACCTTTCGCCGAATATAACTTCGGCCCCTTGAAACGTATCCTCATTGTGATATTCTTGATGAATTAATCATTTAAAATGCCATGTATAACGTTATTTCCAAGCTTCTATCCTTAAAGGGTGACTTTTAGTGCCGAATTTTACATTTCTGCTCCGAATTTGCGATAATCCCAACCGGAAATACGACGAAAACTCGTCAAAACAATGCTACGCTTGTATCGCGTGACTCTGGAAATGCCAGAAATGGATTCTACAGGTCAAAGTGCACCCATACGCGTGAGTTTGACGTCATCCCGGCTAAAGGGAGCTCCTTATTGGCCAAGTATTACGTAATACAAGCGCGTGCGAGTAAAACCCGATACTTTAAAAATTCAAAATAAATATTTCTACTCGTCGTATTCATACGAAACTTTCTACACTAAAGCGCTTGAATACAAAGAGTATTTTACACATATAGCCTTTCAGAAAATGACGAAAAGTTTAGAAGATATTCAACTTTTTCTCTTTTTATCGTTTGAATGTTTGGCGAAGCGGTGAGTATAAATATATGATTGTTTCGGTTTGTATAATGTTCGACCGCACTTGACCCCCCGTTCGAAAGGTTATTTTGTGAGGATTACAATGGTGGGTTTTGTTTTAAAGGGGGTAAATACTCGCCGCGATATTTACATTTGAAAAATTGAATCGTAATGTAATGCGAAACTACTTGTCGACAAAGGCTCTTTAACATAAAATTTGACCGAATCGGTTTCAAAACAATGCGACGGCAAAAAATGCAAAAATCCTGATTTTCGTAATAGAATCTATTGTCTTTTTGCCTGCTGTACCGCCATCTTGGATTTATCATGTAGGCCCCGCCTGCCTAGGTATGCGTTAGCAATCTAGATCTCCTATATCTATGTTCGAGACGCAGCCGCGGCAGACAACATCTTTCTGCTTGCGCTGGGTATGGAAATTATATAATACACACTCTAGAACATTTTCATCTTAACATATTACAGAGTGTACAATTACACAACTAACATATATATATATATATATATATATATATATATATATATATATATATATATATATATATATATATATATATATATATATATATATATATATATATAGATATATATATATATATATATATATATATATATATATATATATATATATATATATATATATATATATATATATATATATATATATATATTATATATGACGTTTGTAAATAAGTTTATTTGCTCTGAAGATATTGTGAACAATGTCTTAAATAGTCATCTGCCGGTCTTTAATTATCATTTTCAAATTGCGCTTTCCACCGTCAATCGTTACTGTTTTAAAACAAAAGGTTGTTGACTTTAATTCTATAAAGGGTTATGGGTTTTAAAATTTTCTAAAAAGTTATATTCTGATTTTGTTCATGTTCTATGTTTGCTCTTTTCGTACATTATGTTTTTAAAAAATGTCTTTTTTAACCACTTTAAATATAAACTTATTAAACAACTTGTGTTCGCAGAATAACTGTTTAATATACGACTCTAGCTCATGGTATAATTGTTAATTGTGCATGTTTCCTTGGTATATAAAACTGTAAAAATAGGTAAAATATGAAAACGCCATTTACATGGGTAAGTAATTTGAAAACGAGATCTATTTTCTACCTTTGCTTGACTCGGCATCAATATCTTTAACTTCGTCGTTTTCTTCATTTTCGTTCTTAACTTCAGATTGGCAGAGTGGTGATAATTCATGTGCAATCTTCCAAAAATTTAAAGAAGAAAATTTAAAGTCTTCGTAAAGGTTAACGAATTTGAATGAATCGTGAGGATTATAATGTGACTTCGGTTTTGCAAATTCATTCGAGTTTCTAACTGCTTGCAGTTCGTTATATAGGTGTTTTAATATGCGTGCCAAATACTTACCAAATATTAATACGTTTATTAGTTATACTTTGGGGACCCAATTGGGCTATTAATTGATCTAAATGAAACACCTATACCCGTATGGATTGTAAAATGATCGTCTTCGCAGGCAAAAAAAACTTTTTAGTATTTGGCAAACCAAAATACAGTAGACCAGGTTGGAAAATTGTTCAAATTAATTCGAAATTCATCACAGTACTTACCTCCGGTTTGGCAAAGCTCTCCTTTGCATTTCTAAATTTAGTTATGGCTTCGGAAGTAATTGTATACGGAGGTAAAATAAATGTAAAGGTAACAGTTGAGATGATGGCGAGCAGAAAGTAGAAAATGATCATTGATTGTAATGAAACACCAGCTTCGTACAACAACTGAAATGCAAAACAAGACGAATGATGAAAACGTTTGTTACAGTTAGTTTGAACTGTTTTTCTAGAACTAAGAACTTGTAGCTAATATTCTAATTAATATTATTGGAGCCAGTTTTACTCGTTTTCGATTCATTTGGCTACAGTCCCTGTTAGAATTTTCTTTTAATTTTTTAATTACGAGATAGTCTGGAAAAAATCCCACAGTTTTGGTACTCCTGCCAACCTTGAGAATGGAAAACGATTACGTATATATTTGTTTTATATGTGGGAAAAACAACAAAAGCCTTAATACAAGAAAGCTGGAATCAAGATTTCTGGCAAATATTACATAAGAGCTAGTATTTGCATTGAATATAAGTGGTGTATAGTAAAAACTCATTATCAAATTAATTGTTATTTATCCAAAGGCTCTGTGCCAGAAAATACAAGAAATGCAGACCAGGAGAATCAAAAATTTGAGAATTCATATTCTAAAGACCACAAATATTAGCGTAGGTCTGAAGACCAGAAATATACAGCTTAGGTCTGAAGTCCGAAAGCTAGAAGAGGAACGAAAGTCTTTACTATTGGCCTTAAGATTAGTTTCAGAATCGGTACCGAAAGAAAAACCCTTGCCCGGCTTGAGCTCAAAGTCGAGCTCAAATCAGTCAAGCGTAAAGGGAAACGCTAATGGCGAAAATGCGTATTCGAAAAATACTTCACTTTACACAATTAACACGGACATTGATCGAGGTTCGAGGCAGGACAAACATGTGGATAGCGATCAGTAAAACAATCAGGAACATGATATCAAACAGCCCGTGACGGTCATAGTTGGTCACTCTATGGCCAAAAACGTACGTGGTCAAAAACGTACGTACCGACATAATAGCGGAACATCTTTGTTCAATTTTTAACAAATAGATGGTTACGGGTATATTTCCGGCTGATGAATGGAAATTATCTAAAGTAACTCCAATGTTTAAACAAGCTAACCGTTCAAATCTAAACAACTATCGTCCTATATCTCTAATTCTAGTAGTTGCTAAAGTATTCGAGAGAATTGATTACGATCAGTTATACGATTATCTTACTGAAAATAATTTGATATCCAGTCATCGATCAGGTTTTAGATCTCTGCGTTCTACTGTTACTGCATTGCTTAAAGTCACAGATAATTGGGCTTACAATATCGATCAAGGGAATGTAAACGCAGTGGTGTTCTTAGATCTTAAGAAAGCTTTCGACACAGTTGATCATGGTATTTTACTGTCTAAATTAAAAAAAATATGGGGTGACGGGTACGACATTTGACTTGTTTCAATCTTATTTATTTTCTCGTGAACAACACTGTTTCTTGAACGGTTCTCTCTCGGAAAATTGCCCATTGGTCTGTGGCATTCCTCAGGGGACAATTTTAGGTCCACTTCTTTTTATAATTTATATAAATGACCTGCATAATTGTCTCCAGTACTCAAAGCCAAGGATGTATGCAGCAGAGGCGTAGCCAGGGTTGGGGCCGGGGGGCTCGGTCCCCACTGGCAAAATTTTGGGCCCCTGGCAAAATTTTGGGGCCCACAGATAAAATGTATGCTTTGATGGGCATCGGTGTGAAACTTAAAATCACTTGTTCGCTTATTTGCGGCACACAGCTTGAAACACATACCTTTTCTAACCCTAATTATTTCAATATGTATTAAATGAGGGTTCGATAAAGTTTAAACAAATCTTTTTTTTTACAAGCGAATTTTTAACGCGGGCTCGGCAGTGGCGGAGTTTGAGCAAGACAACGAAGTACGAAGACGAAGGCGTACTTGCCAATTTTTGCCGTCTGCACATTATCTTGCACATACTGAGTTGGACGTCAATGGTGGTTGCTCAACGTGTCTTCCATGTTTATGAATACTGACCTTAATTCTTGCACCGACCCAGAAAAACAGCGAGACATGAAACTACATATCCCGTCTTTGTCCTTCCGCCTTCGTTCGCGATCGGAACGAAGTTCACAGCGAATTTTGCCAAAATGTTTGCGAATTTTTCGTTGTGAACAAAGGCAGAAGAACGAAGACGAGATAGTGGATTCATGTCTCGCTGTTTTGTCCTGATCAGGGTAAGAATTTGGGTCAGCATTCATAAACAGCTAAACATAAATCTCTAATTTGTCTTCACGCCAGACCCTAAACTCAGAATGCGCAAGATAATGTGCAAGACAAGCAAAAATTGTCAACCACGGTCCACGTCGTCGTCGTCCGACTTCGTTCTCTTGCTAAAACTCTCTAATGTTGTCGGAATCTTCGTGGTGAAGCATCGGAAAATGTGATACGGAAATCGGAAAAAGTGCTACGAAAGCAATTGTAATGTTATTGTCCAGAAAATTTTTTTAACGAAAAGCTGTCGACGGGGGGGGGGGATTTAAAATGTTGTGTGGTCCGCAAAATTTTTTCTTGCGCGAACTTTGCGTCTCGAGTCACTAGCCCCACCTGGGTTTTTGCCGGCCCCCTCTGACCGAAAATCCTGGCTGCGCCTCTGGTATGCAGATGATACGAACTTGTCCTTTGCTAGCAGTTCTACCAATAATATCGAGGTCAAGCTAAATGACGATCTTGTTAGAGTTAATCGATCTTATCGCTAACAAACTAACTTTAAACTCATCCAAAACGGAATTTATGCTGATTGGGTAAGGCAAAGGCCAAGTACGTTTCAAACTGTTCCCTCTCTTAGTATAGGCGATAAACCTATATATAAAACAGGTAAACTATACGCAAAATCCCTTGGTGTTTATGTTGATTGTAACCTTTCATGGAACATTCATATTGATTATATGCAAGACAATTGCAAGTGGCATCGGAGTATTGAAGCGAATAAGACCATTTGTACCCAACTATACTCTTTAATCTATTTTTAAATCTTTATTACACCCGTATTTTGATTATTGTTCTATTGTTTGGGGAAATTGTAGCAAAACCTTGCCCAACAAACTTCAGAAGCTTCAAAATCGTGCGGCACGTATTCTAACTTTTTCTAGCCTTGATACCAATGCCCAACGCCAAATGCATAGGGCTATTATGGTGTATAAGTCTCTTAACGGTCTTGCTCCTCAATACCTTAGAGATAAATTTGTTGATCGTAATAATATTGCTAACTACTCTCTTCGTGACGCAGTGAATAAACGCGCTATTACTTTGCCTCATACAAATTTTATGAAAAACAGTTTTAGTTATTCCGGAGCTGTTCTTTGGAACAGCTTACCTGCCGACTCCCTCAGAACTTTTCGGTTTGACTGCAAGAATTACGCTCACTGGAAGTATTGTAAGTCGCATTATTATTATTATTATTATTATCATTACATATTTTTCACAGCTTTGTTCTTATGCTGGCTATGTTTTTCCCTGGATTTGGTTAAATATTTTAACTCGAATGGGAAATTTATTTTGGAATTCTTTTTCAAAACTCGGATCGGATTCGGATCAGACAATTTCGGATCGGATTTTAAACATTAGGCAATTGTCGGATTATAAACGTCCAATCCGATCCGATGCACACCTCTAGTCTATTGTCAGTATTTTAGGTATATTATTGAAATGATAAAGGTGTTCATGATTTTGAAAAAAGAATGTTTATCAGCAAATAATTGTAAGGGCTGCTGCCCCCAGTCCCCCCCTCCCCCCGACTGCTACGGCCCTGAGAAGTAATAAACCTAAAAATATTTACCGATTTACGATTTGTTTTACGTTATCCATGTAAATGCCGTGATTTCGTAAATCAGTTTATACCAATGGTTTATACTGACAATACCATTTTATAATATTTTCTCTGTTTAAGCAACTAAAATTTTGTTATACTATTATTGCCGTAATTTTCCAAATGGCCAACCCAATTTTCCGAATATGTTAATTCTACAAAAGTTGGAGGGGTAACACCACCCAATACCCCCCCACCCTCGCTACGGCCTTGTCAATTTATAAATCTGCCGTGCTCAGATTATTTAGTTCTCGGTACAACTCACTGAGTTATACTATTTTGTATTTGCCAAACTGAACCATGAGCCCGCACGCCTGACCGCTTGATGTCCTCCATTTCTGACAATGTCCGGGTTTACGGATCGAAAGCTTTGCAGTAATAAATTTACGTGGTGTTTCCACAAACAAAACTATATTATATGTTTTATCGCCATGCAAACTTAGTATACAAAGAACTTATCTTAAAATTCGTTGAAAGGTTTTATCGTTTATATGGATGGTTGAAACTTTAAAATTCTTGTAGCCTATATCCTTTAAAAACCGTGAAAAATGACGCCTGTAAATCCTAAAAACTTAAGGTCTAAGTAAAATCGTGTGCCACACACAAGGATAGTGTTATAAATATTTAATCACACTCACCATGAAGAAACTTTCTTATATAACTGCATGTTGCAAGGCATTTGTGGTAAAGCATTTTTAAAACCTCTTTCGGAAACAGATAAAATTGAACATTAAAAAGCATTTTAACGTCTTGACACCCATGTGATAAAAATTATTATATATACCCAACAAATTAAACGATTAAATTCAATGTGATTCATGTAGTAACGGTAATACGATCAAATAAGATCAATGCAAATAAAACTACAAAAAAGCGCCGTTCTGGGCATAAGCCCGGGGCGTGGGTACTAATTCGGCACGGGTCCCCGGGGTAAGGAAACCATTAGCGAAGTCTAAAGTTCATCAATAATCATGGGGATGGTTAACTGTTCATGGGTGGTCATCTTCACTGATTTAAAAAATATGGCGGGCTGTCGTGACTAGCAAATACTGATTGGTTAAATTTAAAATTTCCATTATATAGGTCCTGGGCTAGAGCTCAAAATATGGCTAGAAACCAATTTTCACTGTGCACGTCGCTATAAACAAAAAAATACTTACCTATTCTATTCTTATAGATTTAAACACGCTGAATTTAAATCTAAAAAGTTCTTGTCGATAAACCCTGTAGTTTTTTGGTAAATTGCGATCAAAACCTTAAAATTTACGAATTTCGCAATAGCATTTTTACTATATGCCATACCTCAAAATGCGTACTCTTGGAACCAGTCACTCGCGCGCCATAGTGAAAATTATACAGGATAGGTCACTCCGCCTCCTCTTGAGATATGTGAAATCAGATTTGACGTAAACGATGAGCAACACGACTTTCAAGTTTCATATGTTATTGCGACAAAGCGTATTTTCTGGCTTTGTAGGAAGATATTTAGCAACACCATGCATTCTTTCAAGATTATGACCGGATGTGTACACTATTAATTCATCTTTATGGCGTGTAATAAAGGACAAAACGAACTTCAATTTTATATTTTTAAAACAGAATAAAATACTGTAGCAGTTGGATATTTGGATGGTATAAAACCAAAAACTATCAAATACTTAATAGTGAATATATAAATACAGTAAATATGTGAACTATACTATAATTTATACCATATACTATAGAGTAAGTAATAGCACATTAGCATTCTTTTCGTGTAAAACTACACAAATTCACCACCATCACAATCCACTGCCTCCTCATCAAAGTCATTGACATTGTCAATTATAGCCTACCTGTACCCCTTCATCTATCTCACTGTTCTCAGAATTGCTGCATCGGCAAAGTTCAGTGCACTTCAAATTTGCTTTAAAACATGAACATCTTTTTGTTCGACAAGCCTTTTTGCATTTGCAGCTAACAATTCTATAAAGATGCTGTCGGCTGTCTGAAGCAGGCGCTTTGGTCCCCCATGTACCCCTGCATGTGGAAAAAGTATCAGACCATGCACGGCACCAAAAATTTAGATAAAATAAGAAATTCAGAGGGAAAATTGTAACCAATAGAAAGAATGTTACCTGTTCTGTAGAAATGAGCTCAGAGATAATAATGCATCCATCTTCATTCATAGTGTGATAGTGCATAAATATATATATTATAGAGTGATGTAACAAATGTTGCATGGCAAATGCATTTTTAGCAAATCTGGGGCACTTGATTTTCAAAATATTCTGGGGAAGCATCGTCTCCTTCATAGCTGCTCTTTGTGTCGAGGCTCTCCCCACGGATAGCTTTATATAAAAAACGTGGAGAAATGCCCTTTGGCAGTCGATGTGAATTTCTAAAACTGGATATATTGCAAAAGCGTAGGGAATATTTTTCACTAACGGAGTGTTATGTAACAATTATTCGCCGAATTAAGGCGAGTAGATTATCGGGGAATATTCGCCGAGACGAAGTCGAGGTAAATATTCCCCGATA